ACATTCCCTACTTGATTCTTGCACCTAGCACACATGGGGCTCACATTAGGATAAAACTTTTTTTTTTACATCTTAATATATGTTAACATACAATATCAATGTATACTTTAATCTTGAATAATTGATATAATCATTCATATAATATATACAGGCAAGTTAGGAGAATGGTTTCTATATATTTATATATATACATATGTACATACACAAATTCATACAAACACAAATGCATAAATAGAATACAAAACAAGAATATAAACAGTTATGGTTTAGCAATTTCATCCCTGTACCTTGTGAGAATTGTGTCTTTATACCTCTTTTTGAATAGTTTTATGTTTGGATAAGTTCCTCACTCAAATTTTTCCAGATCTTCACCCCACAAACAGAAACACAAAAACGTCTCTTTGTTGTGCACACCCTAACATTAGTGAATATAAATGAACCACGTAAATAATAATTCCCTTGTCTTTCATTGAACAATGTAATTGAACGTTTTTTTCCTTAAACATGATTTGCGCGATTTGGAATTCAACAGACAGTTTTAATAATTTTAGCTCTAAGAATAATGAAGCATAAACGTTAAAATAAAATAAGTATAATATGGGATGGAAATTGATTTGAATAATGCCGGTGGAAGAATTATTTTATAATTAATATATATATATACGATTTTTAGCAAAGGTCACCAGCAATATCCCCCATGCTCGAGGTGGGGAAGAGGATTTCTTCAGACTTTTAACGAAGATACCTATGCTTCCAATACGTTTGGTTTGCCAAAAACGTATTCCTCTGTTCAAAATGTTGCATCAGATGGGAGTGGAGGGAGTCTAGGCACTGCATAAAGCACCAAACTAGTGTTTTTTTTACTTTTATTGGTACTATGAACATATATTACAGCATTGCTTTACTGTTTTATGTTTCTATTGTGTTATTGCCTCAAGGCAGCTATCTGTTAACAATCATTTTACCACAACATGAAAGAAAAAGAGACTTGAAAAAATAGCTTGGCAGCTTTTATTTTTTCTCAGCGTTGTAAAAGCTGTCAGAGACACTTATTTAAAGCAAATGACTATTTGTAAGAAGTATTTATACTGTAGGGTTTTGCAGAAAAGGCTCCGCTGTTTGAGGAAGCTCTTAAATAATCCGAGCAGCAACAAGGATTCTGCTGAGAGAGATAATCCTCTTTTAATAACCATACATAAGCATGAAATCAACAATATGACACATGAGGAGGAGGTTCGGGTGGAAGCAGCTGGGTCAGCAAGTAGTGCAGGCATGAAAGTAATCAGCAGAGTAACAGTGATAAGTGTCCGGTTTTAATTTCCTGCTGTATACCTGCATGAATATGATTGTACGTTATTAGCCACACAGCTGTGACTTAGCCAAGGAGTATAGTGAAAACAGCTAATGCTAATCAGACAATACCATTTTTGCTTCAGTGCTTTGCTATAACTAACAGTATGCCTCATTCATGAATGTAACTAAAGCAGACATTGTGTACTGTGATTGATTATCTAATCTATGTTTCTGAAAGTTTTTGTTTTATAGAAATTAATGGACCTGGGAAGTTGAAATACATTTAAAGACCACACATTTTGAAGTGGTTTTATATTTACTTTAATTATGAATACTTTCACGATTGTAAAAGATGTTTCCTTTTATTTTGCGTCAGGTCGGGCCATCAAACATGTCAAGGATTCCATTTTCACCCCGGAGGGTGGAGCTAGAAGAGGCGTTCCTAAAGTCCTGGTTGTTCTCACTGACGGACGTTCACAAGACGATGTCAACAAAGTGTCCAAGGAGATGCAGATGGATGGTGAGTATCTTATAAACCAAACACATACAAAAAAGCATTGATAGTTTTTAAACAACAAATATTGAATGTCGATATACAGTAGGATTCCTTGATATTGTCATACAAAATAAAGGACATATCCCCACTCCCCCTTTTAATTCCTTGGAAGCTTTACGTACTGTATTTCTATTGTTGAAGGATATGACACTCTTCAACCATGCAGTAGGTTTGAAACCCATAACTCCAACAATATGTTACATGACTCCTTTTAATCCTTTCTAATGACTTTAAACCTGTAATGAATTCTCTTGTTTAACTCCATTCTCAGGCTATATCATCTTTGCCATTGGCTTTGCCGACGCGGACTACGGAGAGCTAGTGAATATTGCCAGCAAGCCCAGCGATAGACACGTCTTCTTTGTGGATGATTTGGATGCCGTGAAGAAAATAGAAGAGCAGCTCATTACTTTTGTCTGTGAGGCTGCTACCGCCAGTGAGTAAACAAACCTTGGATTTTAAACAGAGGGGGAGAGAGACCAGAAAAAACAAGAGTTCAGAAAAGAAGATTCATTCATAATTGAAAATGTTAAGGATGACCTAACAGACTCTTTTCTGTCTTTCAGCTTGTCCGTCTGTGTTGATGAGTGGTAACACAGTGGCAGGTAAAAAACAAGGAACATAATACACTGTACTACAGCCACACAGGAAAATCAAGTTGGCAAAAAAAAAGAAGCTAAATAAGATAATGACACATAATGAGGCTGCACTCAATGTTTAGCAGTAATGATTGTAATTACAGTGATCACATTGAGAATGAGGTAATGATGGTTTGCCTCCTGAAGGTTTCCGTATGATGGAGAAGTTCGGCCTGGTAGAGAAGGAGTACAGCACCATACCTGGAGTCTCTCTGGAGCCGGGCTCGTTCAACACCTTCCCATGTTACAGACTACACCGAGACGCAATGGTGTCGCAGCCCACCAAGTGAGTACTGAAACACTGTAAATAGTACATGGTACTTTTACTTCTGTTTTCAAAAGCATTCATTAGATTGGATCCTAGAAATTTGGTTTGGAAAGTTAACAAATTGTGCGTCATAGACATCTGTAAGAGTTTGATTCGCTGTGCTTGATCATGCCTCCATTTTTCTCGCATCCATCTTTTGCAGTTGAACAGCAGTTGATTTGATTAATGTATTTCTCTTCACACACCTCATAGATTAAACCTCTGAACCAAGGCTAACAGTAATCCCAAAGCAGCCAAGAAACTAATGATCAAATCACTTTTTTACATTTACAAACATTACACAGGCATGTATAATAATAAGTTATAGGATCGACGGGTTTGTTCATTTCAGTTCATTTGTTAAAGTTTAATTGAGATAAACATCACTTTTGAAAGAGACACCTGGAAAAAAATATTCAATATCATAAAATAATTCATTGATAAACCACAAATATAAAGAATAGCTGCATGTTAAGTTTTCAAGTTGTTATCAAGTTGTAGCATTTATTTGATTAAATACAGTGCATGCACAAATGCAGTTGACTCCTATTAGGCACTCACAACAGGAAAGAATGAAACAGAGGGATCAATAAAACACAAACACAGGTATAGTTGATAAATTATTATTTCGTTGTACAACAATCGATAATAACGAGGAGAACATTACCTCTGCTCTCAAGCAGTCCTACAGCAATTCTCCCTAGACCAGAAAGATCTCCTGTGCT